GCGCACACAAACGCACACTTCCTGGTGTGGAATACATTGGACCCATCTAGGGCGCAACGAATAAAATTTCGTTAGCCCAACGCCGGAATCGGGATGCTTGTCTTTGTATATACGGAAGGCCTCTCGTATTGAGCGTGTCATGAAGTGCTTTGGTACGAACGTTTTCTCTCCGTTGAGCATGACAGAGATGACGTCCTTCTGGTTGGGACTTTGGCGCGAACATTGTAGCTCGTCTTTCGTGAAGTACTCTAGGGCAGCAGACAGGTTCTCAGGGCTCACCTTGCACCTCATGTAAGGATCCGGCTCATACCACACGCCATGCTTTTCCTTGAGTTTTCGGGATTTACTGATGAGGTACATTGAGGCCTGTGGAATCATCTTTTGAACCTCATTCTTCGTCAGTGTTGACGGCAGGAGTGTAAGCAGTTGACAACGTTCCCGGAGAGAGGTGGCGGTTTCAAAGGCCTGCCGAAAGTTGTCCACCCACTCAGTGCATGTGGAGCATGTTGGTTCGGACGACCCCGATGGTGCGTCCCTGTCGTACGCAATACGTAGCCTTGAGCGTATATTCTTGACAGCAACCTGCTCCAGTTCTGTCTGCTTTCTCTTGACATAGGCAGGCCTGTCCCGACTTCTTACGACGCTTGGTTGTCTCAGCGGCGACACATCTGTAGGTAGTATGCTGCGATTTAGATCTTCAATTGCTTCTTCAGCTGGCACAAATATGTCAGGGCACTGCTCTGAGCTTCGCATCGAGATCTCCTTAGTGATGTGCATGAAGCAATGGTAGCACAAGTAGTCCGTCGCACTCACTTTGGTGGAACAGTCAGGCGGAAGAATTTGCTTCAACGAGTTTAGGTCCAACTCGCCAACACTTCGAAAATTCCGCTGCTTTGGTATAGTCTTTTTGTGTTTGCAAAAGTAATCTGCACAAAACACTCATTCGGAGCTCCAGGACGTCTTCATAATGTATACATAAATAATAGAAATTAAACCCCAACTGATGGCATATAATTGCCAAGTGAAAGAACTACTGGGTGCACAAGTGACAAGTCCGAGGCTGAGGAGCTCACTCACTGCAAACGTACATTTGAAAAGAGAGGTCACAACTGAGGCTGTCGGCAAAGCTTGATCCACGTCAAAGGAAGAAAGAGGGAAAGTCTCCAGACAAAAACTTGTGGTCAGCGGCCTTCGAAAAAGACTTTCCGGAATCGCACTGTCGTCCCTCCATGCGCTGATATGAAAGCACCCGAGCTTCTACCACGTGGTTCATGACACAGCCTGAGCCATGTCGGCGACCGGTTCGCGAGGGGTTGGCGGTGGGGTTACGTTGAGGGTCACTCGGATTAGCCCTTGCTGTACTGAGCTACCGCCTGCAGTGCCTTATCGCCGGCTGGTGTCAACAACGAGAACACACACACCCTGTCTACACTAAAACTACAAGCGTTCACCGCACACGCGTCGCCGCCGCTTTTAAGCTTTTGTGAAATTGCATTCTTTTGCCGCGGAGAACCGCCTTATCTTAACTACGCGCCTGAAATCCTTCCAGGCGGGCGTACACAATATCAAGCATTTCGAGAAATGCCCGTGGAGTAGAACTATGGGAAAATTCGGAGCCCGCGATGTCGATATCGTCGGCGTTGTGTTAGTACGCCGTCGCGTACTGCAGCCCCCGTTGGGGGAGGGGGGGGGGGGCGGTCTTACTACGATAACATGGCGACAGCGTTTACACTCTATTTACGCGAGGCTCGAGTATTTGGGGATAATGCTGCCGGTTGGTGTGCCCCTTTGTGCCTGATATTATCGCCCGTGACGCCAGCGAGTGAGATGGCGACAGGCATGACTGCTCAGTAAACAGGCGTCGGCGGTCATGTTTTGCTGGTTGAAGCGAACCCCCTTGTCCTTGACAGCGAGCGGGGAAATGCGAAAAAAAGATTGTATCAGCCGTTTTGCCAGAACTAGCGACGAGTGTCGTCTGCGGTTTCCGGCAACTATTTTGCCATAATCGTGAGCTTAGCGAGGAAATGATTTTTGCTAGCCACAGAACACTACCACGCAGAAAGGGAATGCTTGAACATGTTTTTGTTCTGGATATATATCAGGGATATATATGAGAGAGAGAGAGAGAGAGATGAAGGTAGAGCGGAAGAGGGAATAGCATATAGTGTCGCAGGAGAATAAAGTAAACAAAGTTCCTAGTGGCCGATGGCTGCATGATCTTTTCTCGGATCACTAGTCCGTAATATGATACCTCTTTGTACACAGTAGTTTCTCCTTAATTTAAGTGTGTGAACGATTTCTTTAGTTGTCATTGGCCTCATCTGAATAAAAATATATAAAAGATGTGTGTTGGTTTCATGAAACTGGAACTCAGAGTCAGTTCTTGTATAAAACACTGCTAAGTGTAGGCTTTGAAAAAGGACCCTACTTTGGGGAGTTGTATCTTCTTTCTCAATAAAATGATGCAACATGTTTTTAATGGAAATGAATGCCGAAATAGAGTATAACAGGTTACCTAAATTAAAAAAAAATCGAGGGTGGTGTTTTTTTTTTATTCGCATCGGAATTTTTCTTTGTTTGATTTTGTTTCCATGTTTGACTAAATATATCCTAACTATTGTATCACACAGATACCTTAGTTATTTTTTAAATATTAGCTATATATTAGTAGAATAATATCTGCAAATTATATCATAATGATTAAATTATTTCATGAGATACAGACCTCCAAAGTTTGCCATTTGTCGTTCGAGCAGGCATGTTTGTCAATTTTTAGAAAAATAAATAAATTTTAAATAAATATGATTACTTTATATTACAAGCAAGCTATACCCATAGTTTGCGCCTAAAACGTATTAGAGTTCTCCTAATGTTATCGCTTTAGTTATTCACTCTCAAACGGGCCCCCTCCATCAGTGCGCGTTAATGCAACTGTCCACCACCTCATGCCTTACGATTTTTCCTGTCCCCAAGTATTTTTTCTAGTCAAAACTAAGTTTGGATTCGTTCATACCAGACACTAGACAATAACATATAAAAACATCAGTTGATTTGAAAATGTCGACTAGCCATCCTTTGGTCGATCTTATCTGAAATCACCCAGTTATTACCTGGGACACTTTGCTCTTTGTCGAGAAACATTCAGTTAGACTGAAGCGAGCACCAAAAAACACTAGACTTATAAGACAAAAATATACATGTGGGAATAACTCTAAATGTTAAATGTTCTACCCGTAGTGGGGCTGGGTGAGCAAAAATCCAACACATAGTTTCTCAATCGTTCCGGCAGACGTCTCTGCTGCTTTGGGCAACGATTATCCGACGGAGATGCCCGGGTGAGTCGTAGGGGTGAATGGCTCCGATCCATCACGATCACTAGCTGTTGGTGATGATTCTAGCGTCATGTCAGGACTGTCTCCAGAGCCCCCTCTTAAAGTATGAGCCACTGGGGGTTCGTGAAGTGCAGCAACTCCTGGCCCCACGGAGTTCAGGGACTCCGCCGAGACCGTTGTTGTTTCAGAACTTGAAGATGGGAGCTCGCTACAGTAGCCGAGCCCAAACTGAGATGTACTTGAGGCGGTGCTTAGCATAGCACTGCTTGGAAGGACTGGAGGTTCAGGACCCTCCTCGACAGTGACCTTGAAGGCCGGAACGGCAGGCAGGACAGGAACCGAAGCAGTGCGGAAGGCCACTTTGGAATCGGAAGCAGGAATGATACCGGAGATTGTAACAACACACACTATAAACTTTAGGTGCCATCTAGATTACTGATGGCACACTTCACTATCCTTTTTTTTTTCCAAGTGAACCTTTTCTGCATGAATAGCGACCTGATTTTGGGGACCATCTTGTTTCCTGACACCCCTGTCGTCGAGTGTGTAAGACTACTGTAGTGTAAGAGGAATGTTTTGCGTGCAAACTGCCTGTAGTTTGGACGGTGTTGTAAGCACTTGCTCGTCGCAAGGCTATGCTCGTCCTCCTCGATTGAATATGCTGGTCTCTTTCGCATAAAACACAAGTAAACGCCGCATGGATAACCAACCTTTTGTTGTGGGGTACATAGATTTTTATTTCATGAGTAGACATTTTTTTTTTGTGGGAATGAAAGCAGAATCGTAGACAAGGGTCAAAATAGAGCAGCTTTCTTGGGCGGCTCCGCGATCACGCTGAAGATGCAAAAGACAGCCTGCTTGGTGGCTAGCAAAGCAGAGAAAACATTCTCTCCGGTGACCACGCTCAAACTCCAGAAATGTCCACAAAACATTGTTCGAACAAGGCGTGTCCACAGACCAGAGACCAGTGAGGATTTCGAGTGATTGATCTTACTCTAGGGAGCCACCGCATCCAATGTAAAGACATCATTGCTTCGAGCGCATAATATCAAATATTGAGTCAAATAACACATTTATAACTCATTCTCCAGTCGTGTAATGTGGACGGAATGCTTATTTCACACTCTCTATGGCATTTATTCATTGCCGACGACAGCATTGTATTACCCATGGCCTCGATGGGAACCTGCCAAGTTTTTGGTGTTGCGATAGTTCGGTATGCAACAGTGCTACAGATTTAGTGTTTGCTCTTCTGCGGAAGCTGGTAGCAATGTTAAAAATAAAAGGCCAAAAACTCTCGACTCAGAACTTAAAAGTGATGCATGGATTGGCCCACGAGCAAGCAGGCTGGCGGAAAGACCTTTCCAGTGTTGGAAATATTTTGAGCTTGATGGCACGACGTGCCACATTATATTTGATTGCCCCGAGGCTACAAAAGGGCATTTGCGTGTGCATTTGTGACCAAAACCATTCTACTAAGCGTGAATTTGGTTCAGCAAATCTTAGGTTTGCTGGGAGGGACGAGATTGTATGGGCAAGTACTTCCAAGGCTCTTGCATTGGTGTGGGAGATAGCATTTGAACTCTGACTCGCAATCTTCAAATGGAGTACGCTTGACACTCGATTGATGCTGTGGCTTCTCTCGCATCTTTGTTCCTCTCTTGACAGGCAAAGCACCTGAGGGACGTTTCCAGGAAAGAATGGCTCTTCTTTGGGGTTTCGACGCTGAGCCTGCTGGTGTCACTGGGCTTCACCATAGAGCGACTCATGACACTGTCGCCGAGCACAGATGACTACACATTTGCGATTATGCTATTTTACACTGCATGTAAGTATGACGCCTCAGCGGATCACATTAGCCCTCCCAAAATGTAAAAAAAAATCTTGCTGCCATTTTTTTTTTTTTTTTTGGCAAGTGGTGTGTTAGTTCTAGTGGAATGGCATATTTTGAGCATTGAATTGCACTTTATATATGCCTGCGTGATGTGGTCCGTACCATGTTTAGTTTGTATCCTCAGTAATCTCAATGTGAAATTCATTCAAGTTTTGGAAAAGCATTTTCCTGAGTCTGATGGGAGCTGTATTAATGAACTGTCAGATCACTGAACACCTCAATGTCTAAAAAACAGTCTTTGGAGGACTCTCTCACATGTTGCGAACTGTTTGCAATTCCTTTCACTTCCAGCCTGTAAAGGCCTGTACAAACAGGGACCCTTCAGAAATCGTGAGGCGACACAACTACTTCAAAAATTTTGGAACTTGAAGCGTCCGGCAGTTCGGCAATCCGATGTCTGTTTGAACATGTACCAAGCAAACATCACAATTTTTCTCCTCGCTCCTCCGCTTTTCGATGACCTCGGTGCTCGTCAGACTTGGCGTCACATGCCACCTGCCAGTGCTGTCCCTCGTATCCTTGGTCGTGTTCCAAAATGTACTCTATCCTACTCCAGGGTATGGAGGTAAGGGTTTCGTACCTTTGCATTAAAAAACCTACCCGCGTCCAGCGTCGCTCCGTCTGTGTTATCACAAGACGCGACCCGCCGAAGTAGCTCGGATTTATTTGGGTAAGATTTCGAACACAGCCTTTCCCATTTTTGGAACCTGAAGAGCAGCGGAGGCCTTGAGCAGTGCTCAAGGCCCCCGTGGAGGATACGGGCAAAATATCAGGGACGGAAGCGGACTGTCGTACGACTTACATCAGAGTCCTGTTGCCTCACGATTTCTGAAGTATTCTGTTTAGACGGGTCTTTAGTCTTTTCCTGGGGGATGAACTAAAGACTGGTCCGCAGGTCTGCATTTGAGTGTCGTCGACTGGGTGGCGATTGCTCGTGACCGCTCACTACGAGAGAACGCGCTGGCGCCGTCTGTCGAGTGACCTTAGAGCACGCCCGATCTGCACGCATTTTAGGCATCCTTGTTTCGCAGTGTGTTCGAAATGGTTACGACCCTTTCTCATAGAGAGTGCATAGATTTGATCTTGCAAATAATGGAAGACCATCGGTCCAGTTGTACACAGATTGGAAGGGTTCCGGAGCTTCCCGAGGTGGCTTCAGTGTGCCAGTGTTTCCTCTCGCGATCACTAGCGGTTGCGACGCAGTCAACTGCACTCAAACACGGATGCGTGAACCAGCGTTTTAGATTTTTGCAAGTATTTTTGAATATTCAAATCTGAACCCCCTTCCCACCTCTTTGTTTATTGCAGGTTTTTGTTTTTTTTATATTGTGCATGGCATACTGAAGGAGAGGTTTTACGAAATCATCGTCTTCATAGTGAGCAGCGTGATTGTGGCGATTTACCTGGTGCTCAATGTGGCCTCCAATTACTACGACAAGGACCCGACACCAGCCATTAAGATAGTAAGAACCACTTTTTGCTTTCGTCGCTTTTTCTTTTCTGCCACTGTAATAGAGGAAGTAACCTAGCAAGCTCTAAAAGTTCTGATGGAAGTTGTTTTTTTTTTTCTACGCTTGATTTTAGTAGCTTTTAGGACGAAATATGCTACATTTATTGAAATTCTACTAAGGTCTCCTGATGATTTTGATATTTTTAGTGTGTGATGATTTTTCTTTTGTGATTTTTCTTTTGATATTTTTAGTGTCTCCAACACCCTCAGAGTGCATAGGGTAGAAAGAAGGCATTGAGGAAGAAGTATGAACAATAGGGATTAAAATAGTAAATGGAAATAATGTCAACAGAAATAGCTATAGTTATGAGTAAAGTTACTAGGATGACGTAAAAGAAAATAATTTAGATCGAGTGTTAAGACAGCAGTTTGCCTTTGAGATATGGCAAGGCTGGTTTATACTACAGCTGCTTGATTTGTCCACCACTGTGCAATTGCTCGCCCGGGCTCTTCGACGTGTGGCAGGCAGTAGTGAATACACAAACTCGGTTCTATATAGCTTCACATTGTCAGTGAGGTAAGCCTCTTTTAAATCTATTATTGACTTGTGAACAAATATTTATTTATCCAATTTATCCCGCAACTGCCGGAGGGCATTATCAGAGGAGAGGAGGCATTATCAGCGTACATGTTCATTCAACAAAAATGCCTTCTGCATATACATGCAAATATATGTAGAACTACAGAATGTAGATCATTAATAAACTAAACTTTTGGGGAAGACTGTTCATAATAACTTTGGAGAGAAAACGTTAATCACATTGGTTTAACAAACATTAAAAAAGCAAGTCATCTAAAAGCACTAAAACAATATTAGAGGGTATATGATTCTATTGTTGAACTGTCTGTGAAAAAAAAAATGAGTACTATTTGAAAGCGTGGGAAACCTGAGGAGCAGGTTATCCGCAAATTGTATCATAAGACAAGCAAGCCGGTTCACAGCATAATGAGAGAAGAGGTATGACTAATTTAGTCCCATAGCCATCTGGAAGTGAGCAGGCCAAAATTGCCAATATATATGGGTGGTTTCATCTCAAATCAGGCAGGCTAAAAGGTTCTAATTTTTAATTTTGACGGAAAAAATATATGTTTTGGGGGCATTTCTCAAATGGAGGAGGGCGCAAACCGCATGTTCCCCAAATTCTTTGTTCTCGAGTTACGAAGCGTAGAAGCCGCAGTGGCAGAAACTAGTGTTTTTGCCGGCCGTCGCAGGTCGCGTGTTTGACACCCTCTGCTGGTGCTAGTGTTTTTTCTACACCCTTTTAACTTTTTCCCCTTATTTAATAGGTACTATAAAGATACCTTGACATAATCAAATATTTTTAGGAATTTGATTGTTTTCTAAATGTCAAACTCGTCACTCAGGTCGCTCTTTGGTCAATTTTGAAAGGTCATTACTTTGTCTGTACTTAAGGTAAATTTTCTTTCTTTGGCTCTACAGAAAGCCCAAAGCAAGCCCATTATAGATATAATAATATCTATATGATCGGCTGAGTAGCTGTTCCACTACTTTCACATAAATGTTGTAAGAAATAACAAATGTTGAAAGTTTGAAATCTATTTTCTCGAAAACCCCATTTTTGTAAATTTTTATTTTTTAAATTCTTTTAGGTATATTAATCGACTACAAGAAGAAACAATCTAGAAATGGAGTATTTTGGTTGTATGTCCTCTATTTGAGCTGCAATCGCAAGAAATGTGTGAACATTTGTACTTTTTCATGTTTACGTGAAGGTAGCACAGCGGCTACCCAGCAGATCATAATGATATTACTATATCTATACTAGGCACGTTCAGGGCTTTCTATACAGCTAAAGAAAGAAAATGTACCTTAAGTAAAGACAAAGTAACGACCTGTCAAAGTTGACCAAAAATCAAACTGAGTGACGAGTTCGACATTTTTTTTTAGAAAACATTTGAATTCTTAGAAATATTTGAATATGTCAAGGTATCTGCATAGTGCCTATTAAAGTAGGGAGAAAAGTTAAAAGGGTGGAGGAAAAACAATAGCGCCAAGAGGGTGTTAAACACGCGACCTGCGACGGCAGGCAAAAGCACTAGTTTCTGCCACTGCGGCGCGGCTTCTACGCTTCGTAACTCGAGAACGAAAAATCTGGGGAACATGCGGTTTGCACACCCTCCTTCATTAATTCCCCCAAAACATATATTTTTTTCGTCAAAATTAAAAATTAGACCCTGCCCGGTTTGAGATGAAACCGCCCATATATATGGGCGGTTTCATTTGGATTCTGGCAACGAGTGGCAGTCATATTTTTTATTTGCTTCAAATTTTTATATTTCGTGGCACATGTTCCAAGAATAACAGTCCTTCTTATTTTAATGTCCCGACATGTTTAGTTTCTGAGAAAAAAAATTTCAAAGAAGCGGGAAAGAATGACGAGGTTTGACGATTGTCGTGTGTGGCGTTTTTGAATTACTCTCAATCTCAAAGTATTCAAAAGAGAGCGTCTATATTTTTTTAGTGTGATATATATGCATGTAGATAAGACAACATTATAACTACTGTTTATTATTCGTCGCTCCAATCTTTGTAAAAATCCCCAAACATGCCTCCGCGAACAACTGTGACCTAAATTGCGGATTTTGTTTTGAGTCGACTATGTTTAGTTTTGTTTTTAAAATAATACCACATGTAGAACCTTTCATCGCCTTCCACATTATGTAAAGTTTGTGTCTTAATCACGTACTAGTACTAAGAAATAAATTATGAAACAAAGAAGGTTTTCACTTTTCGTTCAATTTCAGCACGCTGTATAAGAAAAAACTTTTTTTTTTTTTTGCTTTGCGCTTTTTTTTACACCTTTCTTTTATCCAGAATACATTCCGTTAGAGGTATATGCACTGATTTTGAGCTTTAAGCCTCTGAATATGCTAAAAAAATTATTCGGTTCTGTTATCAGCATGAAGTTTGCATTAGAAATAAAATTTTGCATTTAAATATCTAAGTTTCTAATAGGAAGTGTATTTTACTCTACTGTTTTACAATATTATACTTTCATATTTCTAACGTAGTATAGATTATGTAGCGCATAGGGTTTAGGGCCCCTCCAATCATGGCACTGGCGGAAATTGTCTTAAAACCCGCTTTCGGCAGTTGCGATTCTATAGTTTTTAGATGTTTGGAATTGCAAACTTGTTATTATACGCCTAACGACGTTCATGTCTTTTATATAAGTATTTATGCAATGTCCCTTAGATTATTATAATAAAGAATAAAATATACAGCTATAACCCATAAACCCACCATCAGCATTTGCTCTTTTTTAGCATATTTAGAGGTTTAAAACTCAAAACTAGTGCATATACCTCTAACAGAATGTATAAAAAATTAAAAAAAATTAAAATTTTTTTTTCTGTTGCGTTTTTTTGCACCTTTCTTTTAGAAAGGTGCAAAAAAACGCAACAGAAAAAAAATTTTTAATTTTTTTTTTTTTTAATTTTTTAAATTTTTTTACAGCGGGCTGAAATTGAACAAAGAGTGAAAACCTTCTCTGTTTCATAATTTATTTCTCAGTACTCGTACGCGATTAAGACACAAACTTAACATATGTGGAAGGCAATGAAAGGTTATTTTAAAAACAAAAATAAACTTAGTTGACTAGCAAAAAAATCTGCAGTTTTGGTCACAGTTGTTTGCGGAGGCATGTTTGGGGATTTTTACAAAGATTGGAGCGACGAATAATAAATAGTAGTTATAATGTCGTGTTACCTACTTGCATATATATCACACTAAAAAAATATGGACACTCTCTTTTGAATACTTTGAGATTGAGAGTGGTTAAAAAACGCCACACACGACAATCGTCAAAACCTCGTCATTCTTTCCCGCTTCTTTGAGATTTTTTTTCTCAGAAACTAAACATGTCGGGACATTAAAATAAAAAGGATTGTTATTCTTAGAACATGAGCCACGAAATATAAAAATTTGAAGCAAAATAAAAAATATGATTGCCACTCGTTGCCTGAATCCAAATGAAACCACCGCCCATATATATATAAAAAAAGGTTTAGCAACATTTTTTGTTTTACAGCTTTGCCTGACATTTAAAGTTGACTTTCACTAAAAGTTACTTATTAGTATTTACTTTTCATACTTCTATCAGTGATGCAGGAATGTTAGGGTTCAGTGATCCATGTTCTCTAACTACACATACACCACAAAAATTGCTGTGGAGTGCTTCTAAGCATCTATAGAGTGGCTTATTCAAGCGCCTTGTTTCCTGCAAGCACCAGAATTGTCGATAATCATCGCATAGCGTTTGTCCAACTTTATAATAGTAAAACAAAGTAAAGGTTAAGCATCACATGCATTTACGAAACGCTACCCACACCTAGTTTGACCACATTCCAGATGCCCATGCGTCCGGGTTACGCTTTTCATTCTGCCGGCAGTCGTAAATGTCACGGGAGCTGAGAGCCATTTTCAGCAAACCAGCTGCTGCGTTGGGCTTACGACAAATTGCGATTGCTTGCCAGCTGGCAAACCAGCTGCTGTGCTGTGGAGAATTGTTTGTTTAGAAAAAGACAATTTCCGTCAAGTTGTTACGGTCTATGAAGGCTAAAGAGCAGGTAGAGCTTTTAGCTTGTTTAGACCCCAGGGCTGTATTGTGACGGACTTCTTGCAGTACCGCTCGCAGTACATCTCCATTGACCAAAGCAAGACAAGTGACCGCAGGTCTTGCTTTGGTCAAGTGGAGATGTACTGCAGTCACTTGCCATTATTAGCCTTGGAGTGTGGTCGTCACACGCGTGCGCCAACTAATTTGAGATGCAAGAGCTCGCACCTCCACATTCGTAACACAGTATTTATGTTACGGGACTCGTTTTGATTTGGGAGCGATTACGAAGCATGCTTCTCTTCTGAGACAGTGACCCAGAGACAAGCATATTTTGAAATTGCTCAAATTTATTTTATTTCTTTCATTTATTTCAAAATACTAATAGTCCCTTGCGGGACTGTGAAGGCCCGTTCACACTCTTGCAACCGAGTACGACTGAGAGAGACGAGACTTGCTGAAACCTCTTAAAATTTCCTTGGATGAGGGAACACACTGGCATCCTGGTGCCATCTATGCGGTGACCCTGGAACTGCATTTCGCAAGAGTGAAGGTTTTGCGGGATTTCCGAGGTCAAATGTGTGTCATACCTATGAGAAAGCTCGTTTATAACGTTGACAAAAGTTTTTCGAGCCAAGAAGAAACGGTAATGCACGAGAGAAATAGAAAATATGCCGGACCGCCAAGTTTACACTGTTACCCAATAGATGGCACCAGTGTGTCCTCTTGTTGTAAGAGGTTTCAAGGCACCCAGTTCTAAGAGGTCACAAGGGTGTGAACGGGCCTTGATAGGAAGAGCCTAATACAATCTGTGGCAGCGTACAAAATAAAAACAAAAAAAAATTGTTAAAAGGGTAAATCAAGTAAAATTAATAAGACATCCACACGAAGCGAAACTTTAAGACAAGCAAATATGCTGGCTGACACAAGAAACTACTTACAAAAGATAGATGAAAATAATGGACGTAATTAACAATCATCATTCCCCAAATAAAGGTGCTGGTTAACATAAATAATGCACCATAAAGGGGTAGCACATGTGCATAAGTAAATATGTGTAAATAGGGTTCTTAATTTTTTGGTTTAATTTTTTATTTTCATGTCCATACCATCTTTTCCAAAATGGGGATTTCTTTTCTTTTTTTTATCATCATTTTTTAGAATTTTTTTTATTTTCAAATTGTTATAGACTGCAATCCTCAACGAAAAAGTTAAAAAAAAAACCCCAAAACATCATGGTTATTTCGGGTGGCTTTAAAAAGAAAATGGACGAAACCCATTTCCCAATAAGGACACACAGAGGACAATGGGGACACAACCATCAGAACAAGATAAAACTTAGACAAAGTTTACAAACATTAAAATAGTGGTTTGCAAAAATGAAACCTGTAAACGAAGAAGCCTATGTATAGACCATGCAATCCGTCACTCATAATGCTACAAAAACATCTAGCACCAAAATATTGTGCTAAAGCTTTTTTTTTCTTTCTTATACAGGGAAAGTTTGGTTTGTTGCATGCTTTTCCCATCTAGGCACTTAAAAAAAAAAAATTGGCAGAAGTTTAGTGTTTTGTTAAAATAAAGTGAGGGGATAAGTATGTAGGGTAAATGCGCTGAATTGGAACACTTGGAAAATCTGCAACCTGCCTTTGGTTGAAGGAAGTTTAGCAAAACTTTGTAAGGAAGGCAATTTTTAAGCCGAATAAAGTGAAAATAAATTGGTGTCTCTTTTCTTATAAACTCTTTCTATTTTTGGGTAGCTGCCATAATATATGTAAGGGCATTTGTGGACTTACCATCTTACCAATTTCTAAAGGGTCCTCATTTTTTTTTTATCACTGCACATTGAAAATATAATTGTGTGGCCAAAGTTTCTGCGATTGCTGCTCGTATTCCTGAAATTTATTCGTGACAACTTAGCCGCCGCGAACCAATCTTTTTTGGGTCTCTCGATTATTTTAGCATGTTTACTCGCGTACAGTCTGCGGATGTTAGCGACGAAGGCCCACGCATCTATTTTACCCCAGAGCGTGTCGGAGCGGATCTCTCCCATTTTACTAAAGGAGATCCACAAACGAATGAGGAATTGCAGCTACCTGCGCACGGATACCGAACAATAAACTTTAGGCTCCCCAGATTCCACTGCAGTTTGCCGGTTGAGGTTTGAACGTTACCCGCACCTTCTCATTCACTGTAGCACGGTGGCTAAAGACCGGTTCAGATATTTGCTTTCAAGTGTGACCAACTACTGCATTGTGGCAGCTTGTGACGATAGTTACGACGAGATGACACGCTTGCGCCATTCATCGGGTAGCACTGGCCCACTTCTGGTCTGTTACCCAACGTTGTACGCATCATTTTTTTCACCGTGGACTCGAACTAATTCTGACAATGTTTTAAGGAACTCTTTCTCATCAATACTGCATAGCTTTGATCTCTTGGTTACTAAAGACCTTCAGCCTAGTTCAAGACCAGGAGCGTTCAGTGTTGTTTGCACACCGGTGCTACTTCGTTTCAACTCTTCACAATGCGTCGTAACGGAATGCAACGAGTCTTAATGCAGTCTGTCACGTTAAAACGCAGATATCTGAACCAGCCTCGCGTCGCGTAGCCCTTCAGCCTCATGGCTGAGGCGCCTGGATCGCATCCTTGACTGGTGTGTTTAGCGTCCCGTATCATCCACGCCTCGAAAAAGAACCCGAATTGGCAACAAACGACGTCGGTGGTGGTCGACGTGTTGTGCCTTTGGAGGTCACAATGCTGACGGTTAGTCGTAAAAGTTTTGGCAAAGAGAACGACCGAATGCGGGTGTCGCAGTCGTTGCAGTGTCCCAACTCGCAGCCGCCGAAGCTTACAAACTGTCGAGCTGGGAGCGAGCTGCAGCAGAACGGGCACGTGCTGCATCCGCCCCATGAGCCGTGACGTGACACTCCTGCGACGTCGTTGGCTGAATATTGAGGGACCAGAAACGAGGGAGCAGGAAACACCCCTCAGAGACGCGCTCTTGTTGCCGTATTATGGGCGCCCGAGGTCAAATCAACTTTCCCTTGCAGGCGCGTCTGGTCGTGGCTCTGGTCTTCCTGACTGGCATACTGTGGTGGGGCGGCCAGGTGGCCAAGGGCTACTGGCTGGAGAAGAGGCTGCTCTTCCACATCAATGCCAAGGCGGACCTGCAGTTCATGTACCAGAGGCTGTTCCTCTGCTCTAGCCTCATCTCCTTCGATCTGCAATTGCAGGTGGGGAACCAGTCGGTTGACGGCTCTGTTTTAGGAATGGGCTTCTTCGCCACCCAGGTCATCCGTCGTCTAGAAAATGAGGCCCCTTGTGAGAGGGACCCCCCCCCCTTCTCACAAGACGCCTCTTTTGCTAGAGCAAAAGAAACTTCTGCTAGGCAAGGAGGCGCAGAATTTCGCTCACCTGGCCTCTACTGGAGACCAGTGCTGGGCACGAATTCGACACGAGCGCTGTGTCAGCGTTCAGCTGAAATTTGTGTCCTAGCTTATTAGGCACAACCCCCCCACCGAACAGCGATGCAGCGCTCATGTCTAGTCCGTGATTCATGCCGGTTCCCGGCGGGTGATGTGGGAAATCCAGCGTTGCGGCCTCGTCTGGGAAGTGATGACCCGTGGGTTTATTCGGGAGTTCCAGGAAGCTTCGGGAAACATTTTCCTATGCATTTTGTTCTAGGTTGCCTGTAAAGAATTTGCTGGGGACTTTTATTTACATGTTCTACACTTTTGTTTTTAGCCCATTAATTTGTTGATGAAATACTCGTGATTGGTGCGTTAAAGACGAAAGTGAGCTAAAAGTTTGTGCTGTGTGCAACAGTGGCGGCTTTGATCAGTTTTGTTCATGACTGAGGTAGAAATGCAGTTGTATTCAGTCTGCTGATTGAGGTAAAATAAGAATGCTATACATTTATAGTCAGGATTGAAGTATAAACATGTAAGACAAGGACAACACAACCACATCTTTTAACACAGCCATGAAAGGTGTGGTTGTGTTGTTTTCGTCTTACACGTTCATTCTTTCTTCACTCCTTACCTCCACAAACATGCTCTTGATCCATCAGTATAATTATTGATGTGCAAGATTATAGAATAGTAATTACTGTGGTTGTTGTGAAAGAGCAGTATTATGATTGCAAACTGATTATAGTTAATGACAGGCTAAGAGCCTAGGGCATTTGTATTGTTGAGTACACCTCTAAGTTTTACAATCGTAAAGTTTTACTCTAAAAGTCAGTTTCTCCACGACCCTCTATTTTTCTTTCTGTCACTTTAGTGTCCCTTTAATAGCACTGTAACAACCTTCCGTTAATATAGGTTATAAAACTTTTCACAGAAGAAAATTCGTAGTTTTGTAAACGGCAAACAAGTGTGACACACACTTTAGGAATAATTTTCTTTTTTTTTTTCAATTTTTTTTTTTTGCAAGTAAAAAATTTGGAGTATTTTAGCACAGCTGGCATGGTACAAGAATTGCGACGAAGTTGCACTTGATTTAGTGTTTCTGTCAAGTGGTGATTTTATTCATTCGCTACTGACTTTATCACAAACTATAGATAGATGCTCATTTGTTCACTGAATTATGTATCCTCTGTTTTTGAGAGTAGACAATGCTGTAAAAGCGGGGAGCCATTGGAGCGTGCCAGACTGAACATTTATGTGGGTAAAGTGCAATAGCCCGCAGTCCTCATTTCACTGTGACCATGCTTGCTGCTTTCCTTCTTTGGGCCTTGCTCGGAGCTTGATTGTCGTGCTTTGCTTTGTTATTAATTTTTTTTTTTTAACAAATGTATTAATGTTGTTTTTTTCTGTGTAGGGAAGCATGCTCATCTTTGTGCTGGAGAATGGCACCACCCTTAGCCAGCTCGAGATCTGGGTGCTCTCTGTTGGCCCCGTGGTGACTTGCCTCTGGGCAGTGGCGGGATACTTGGCCGTGAGTACATCCGTCCAGTCGCCTAGCAGGCGAGCATTTGGCAAACATTTTGCCACGTGTGGTCGCCTGCTGCCGAAGCCAAGCATCGAGTAATTTTCCTGCAAATGGGGGTTGTCTTGCTAAATAAAAATTGGCACCGACCTTTATCTGCAAATTCCCATAATGCACGGAATGCTGTACGTATTTACATGAATGTGGGTAGACCCATTTCTTAATTTGTGAAAATCTGAAAGGGGGGAGATCGACTTATAATCGAACCAAAGCATTCCACTGCCGACAAAAACGAAGCAATTGCAATATTGAGAACACCTCGATTTGTTACGAGTTCAGCCGGCTGTACCTGTGGCATTGCCCCATTCTGTGCTCTCATTTTACAATTCTTTTTTTAAATTATTAACTGCACGAACGAGTATTATTGATAGCGATTTGAAAATTAGCCCAAATGTGCTGCGGTGGACAATGAACGGCGCACCCGACTCCCAGCGTTGGCGGCACTTGACGCAAGAGCCACTCTAAAAGTGCCACTGGAACAGCCTCGCTCCCTGCTGCTTCCTTTCGCAGTTTTTTGCACGATTCACGGTCCATGTCATTCAATCGAGTGTCGGGATCACGCTGGAGCGCCAACTACGTTTCTGTATTGACGCGCGTCATCCGGGCAGTTTAGGATTTCGCCGCTCGTTAATGGCCATTCTTCATCCAGAAGCAACAAACAACCGCGCCGCTGGCCGCAAGTTTGACCCTTCAGAGTGGGTGGTGCTCTAGCGCCGTCTGCAAGGGCGCGGGATCTTCACCGCGATGGCAGACGAAGAGGCTTCCGCAAACCAAAGTCTGGATGGGTTTGGATGCCTTCCGGAGTTAGAGGTCAGGCTTGCATCGTACGTCCCAGAAGTGCGCAACCGGTTCCTACCCATGACGTGCAACGCGATCCCTGGGCAAGCGCGGACGATGCAATTGACGCTGTTGTTTGCGAAGTGCAAGACTTCTTGGGACGACGCCAACGACGTTCTTTGAGAACGTTGCAGTGGTCAGGACGGGAACGACAACACCAGTGCGGACGAATCATAGTCTCCAGTTGAAGACAGAGCGAGAACGGAGCAGCTTCAGTTGTCCCGCCTGCAGCGCGAGCTTCCAGTTTCGATAACGCTTGGGCATCTCGTGCACCACGTGCGTGCATGCGCAGCCCATGCACGCCAGAAAGCATCAAGCGTGTGCTGGAAGCTGGGCTTTCGAAAGAGCCCAACTTCGCCATAAAACACCATAGAGATTTGTTTTTTGATGTGCAATTAAGGAAGGGGGGGGGGGGGGGTTGACTTTCAATCGTGTCAAAAACGGTACATAAAGAATGGTCGTTTAAATTTGTTTAGACGATATTATAGTTGATTCGGGGAGTGGAGAAGGACATATCGGTTATTAACGCATCGTGGTCATGTAACGCGACATCATCTTGTGAAGTTCTGGTGTCACGTGAGCTCGATTGGTGTATATCTGCAAATTTAATTTTTGTGTGAAAAATGGTTTACAGAAGAAAAAGAAGAATCCAGAAAAAGTATGGCCCATTGCTTGGTTTTTAGGACCATTAGCAGCAATCATACCGCCACCATGAACCGAGCTTCCACCATTTTGTTTGTTTTGATCTAGCCCGTAGCTTTGACATCGCTGTGTGTGTTCTACGCAAGGGGGTATTGTTCGTGCCATACAGGAGCCGAGTTGAGGCTATAATCGGAATTGTGGCCTCTTTTTGGCACTATCGAGGGTGTACATAATTTAACGGAAACGAATGGATGACAGGAAAGGGACTAGCACGCTCGCCTCAGGCTGGTTAATTGACACTTTTGTTTTGTGGTGTTTACGAAGGGAACGTGGAGGCACTGTCCGCTGCCGTTGTGCACGCGTCTTCCGCCGTCTCCAAGCAGTGACAAATGGTGCTGACTGCATCTTCAGTCTAGTTGTCTGCTTCATTGGCTAGGTTTGACTTGCACTTCTGTTCATGCCTCTGAAGTCTGTCCAATCCAGGAAGAGATTGTGGTCGTCTAATTTTTTCGTGAACCGCTTTGCTGCCCGCTTCTGTACTTTGTTCATAGTTTTGTTTATTTACAACTTGACTGATGCTGTCGTGACATCCGAGAAGTTCACTGACGTGGACAGTGCGCTCTATGCCAGCCATTGTGAGGGTACTTCATGTCGCATAATGCTGACACTGCCGTGTAGGTGGACCGCTGAAATGCAAAACGATTTGAGCAAACTACTGATCGAATAAATTTTTGCATACCGCTTATTTATTTAGCCTTCTGCACAATCCCGGTGAAACCTGAATTATTGTTCGGCGACTGTAATAAATGTGTGACACCGATTGGTTTATAAATATCCTAATTTGATTTTCTTGCTCAATTTAGTGGTCAAGTGCACGAACTGACGGATAGAGAAATTTCTGGGGATGGGGGGTTCCCTTAAAATGCCTTCAATGCTTTAAGATTAAAGAATTGGTGGTGCAAGTTGCTGGAACGTTTAATCCTGCAAAAAGTTGGTGGCGGAGGAAAGGCGGGGAGTGATTTGTGTTCTGGGCATTTCGGGTCTTTGTCACGACTGAAAAGGGTTTCTTGAGGCCCAAATTGATGCCTTTACAGTCTCTCAAGAAATAGGCTTGGTTTACCTTCCTTTGCATTTGGAAATTAAGTTTTTTTGTTATTTGTAGTTCTTGGCCTGCACACCGTAAAATATAGCGGAAGTGCCCACTTCGTTCAAGTGCCCACTATTAACATTTCCCAAACTTTAAAAATATGCAAATTATATGTTCAGCTCCCGATTTCACCGGACAAGCGCCCATGTCTGGACTAAACCAGGCCCCCCTTTCATTTTATAGTAATTCTTTGAGCTCGAACTTGAAAAAAAAATGTGTCCACCGCCAGTTGTCTCTTTGCAGAAAAGGACAGCTTGCATCACAAAGGATGAAAAATGTCTATATGGGCCTTGAAATCGACATCGCAAATCTAAGTTGTATTGTCCTTCATGTTGCACACAGCTCAAATTTCATGTTAGCATGGAAACATTATTTATTTCCAAGTATGGCTTTTTTTGTAAGAACAAATCTTTCCACTTTTCGCTCTCTTGTTTTTGCCCCAAAACACCCGTGTTTTTCGTTTGTTTAAATTCAGATGTTTCTCAGCAATATCTTTTTTTCTGTATTGTACTTGCGCTATTTTCACTGGAAAGAATTTTTTAACGTGCACATATCTGAAAACTAACTTGGTGCCAGTTCTACCACTCGGATGAAAACGGAATTGCAGGCCACCTCATGTTTCATAAAACATGGTTCATAAGGCACGCACGCTCTATACACGAGAGTCATTGAGAATCTTGCGAGAGTTTGGCACCGTAGATCACAACGTTCAAAGCACACGATGCTGGTAGATTTTCTTTCTTCTCGGCTGGAACGATGGCTTTCCGCTGGCCTTCTCCGCTGTGCCAAAACTAAAGTGCAGGCCTACAGGTTCCCAGATGGCAGGTCCGAATCACGGCCGAGGTGCCCCCAATCTGACAGGTTCATTGCAGAGAAGGCAAGAGTTTGGTTTCACGTCAGAAAGATCCCCAGGTGGTCGAAATTAATCCTCAGTTTGCCGCTGGGGCGTGCCACATGCCCTTCGTTGGTTTGGCACGTAAAACCCCCTAACTTAACTGATTACTTTCCACTTAAAAAAAAACAACTTTGTAATATTCTTTTTAAGGGGGGTGGGCGAGGGAACGCAATTGATTTAAAATAATAGGAAGGTTGCTAAAAGGTATGTTTGGGCTAGTTGGTTGATGAGCACCTTGGCTTAAAACAGTGCAACAAGACAAGGACAGAGTAAAAACGAGACAGGCGACAGCGCTGTTTTCTGTCTCGTCTTGACTTGGACCTTGTCGCGTTGCGTTATTTCAAACCAAAATAGCAAGGTCTTTTTAGTGATCCTGCCTTCAGCACGAGCTTTTCCGCCTTCGATCACAGTTTTGCTTCTTGCGAGCTTGGAGCTTGCATGTGCAGCCAAGCATAGTAAAAGGGAATGGACACATGCTGGAGGAGGCTGGACATCCAAAAAAAATCATGAGCATGGAATAACAGCACGTCAACTAGATGAAACCACAGACGTGAAAACAAAAAAACGGCAAATGCAAAACCGTATGATGGATAAAGGTAGTAACTTGCGCCACCTATCCTACTGCTCCAAAGCACATTGTCTAGTATATTGATGGGGCAGTGCTTTCTGCAGGCTTTTTAAGCTTTCTCTTTGCTTTGGTTTTTGGGTTTGATTGTAATGCACGGGTAATTGCAAGCACATTGTTGTCTTGAAAAAGAGAAGTGCATTAGAATCTTGTAGATGTGGTAATCATCTTGCCACGATTCCTGTTAGTTTCATTCATACGTGTCACCTATTTTTTCATAGTACACACTTAAGAAAACACCTGTTTTAGGTATTTATGAACAATCTGGATGCTTTTAGGCCTGGATTGATGCTGCAGTCGAACCCCGCTACAACAAAATTGACGGTGCACGGAAAAAATTTTTGTAGCGAAATCTTCGTTGTTGTAAAATGAACAAAAAAATGGCACATCTGAACTGGTAGAGTACAGAAACCTGTTGAGCCAGCTGGTGCTAGCATTGAAGTTGTCTATTCCAAGCAGGCAAGCGAAATTTAAGGCCTTCTGCTGCACGACGTTTCCGCTGATGGGTATCTTCTTTGCCCTCGTCTCCACAAACCATGTGTACATAGTCTTGTCGAGGTTTTTGTGCGCCGACGGTGTCAGTTTCTTTCACTTGGCCGATGTCCCTGATGCAAGAGCCTTTTTGATTGCATCTTTCGACTTTAGGTTCATCGGCAAAGAACTCTAAGACATTCCAAACTTTTCCGCGATGACAGCTTTCTTCTGTCTACTTGCAACTTCGGCCAGGATGCGGGCTTTATCTTCTAAAGATAAAAACTTCCGCGTTTTGCTTTGCGGTGCCATGTCCAAAAAGCCCGCATACT